GTGATCCTTACTATTTTGGTTTACAGTTAACAAAGAGCCATGCAGGAACATAACATAAAGAGCAAAACTATCAAATAGCTCAACTTATTGAGCTTTAAATTTTTGTATCTAAAGAAATATACAAAGAATTCATACATTGTACTACTAAGAACTCTATTCATGTTAACAGGTGGTTTTACACTGGAACCTTTTATCGTGCTCAGCTGTTCTTGAAGAATATAATTAGATAATATTGAATTCTTCACATAATATAATACTATGTATTATGTTTATGTGTATATTACAATAATATGCAATCCCACAACAATATACATGTATGAACAATTACTGAAGAAATTATTGGACTGATGATCACCTTGTAGGGGTCAGATTAGAAAGGAAAATTAACCTCAGAAAAAGATCACTTAAAATTTAGATTAGCCAGTTTGCTTTAAAAATGCAAACCTGAATAATCTGCTTAGGACAGGGGAAATAAAATTAAATGTAAAGAATTTCACTTTATAAATGTATAAAGATTTAGTGAATAAGAGGAAATATGAAATTGGCAAATATATATGATTCAGCTTTTAAAAATTCTTTGTCTTTAATTGTAACTGATAATCCAAAAAAGATATTGTCAATGTAGCTTATGTGTAATCAAGCAAGGACTTTTTTGTTTTTTAAAAATTCTCAGATATAACACCATGACAAGTAGTTTAAACTAGCAACTCAATATACTGCGAATTTTGTTGTTGTTGGTTGTGAGGCCTGAATTCTGGGCCTGGGCGCTGTCCCTCAGCTCTTCAGCTCAAGGCTAGAGCTCTACCACTTGAGCCACAGCACCACTTCCGGCTTTTTTCTGTTTTGGGGGGGCTGAAGAATTGCACCCAGGGCCTCATGCATGCAAGGCAAGCACTCTACCACTAAGCCCCTTCCCATCCCCTTGTTTACTTTTTTTTTTTTTTTGTTGGGTCCGGTCGTGGGGCCTGAACTCTGGGCCTGGGCACTGTCCCTCAGCTCTTCAGCTCAAGGCTAGCGCTCTACCACTTGAGCCACAGTGCTACTTCGGCTTTTTTCTTTTTGCTTATGTGGTGCTGGGGAATCGAACCCAGGGCCTCATGCATGCCAGGCAAGCGCTCTACCACTGAGCCACCTTCCCAGCCCCCCTTGTTTACTTTTTTAATATAATTTATTATGTATTTGAGAAAGTATTGTGTGACACACTGATAGATTTTCCCTAAATTTTTAATTAACTTTAATAATGCTCGTTATAATGCTATGTTTACCATCATAATGTTGGAAAACAAAAGGATGGGTTGAATTTATATCATTTTTAACCTTTAAGGAAAGAGAATATCAAGCACAGTGGTAGACATCTGTAATCCCAGCTACCCAAATATGATTCAGGAGGATAACAGTTCATGGCCAGCCTGGGCAAAAAGTTAGCAAGACCTCCATCTCAACAAACAAGCTGGGTGTGGTGTTTCACATCTGTAATCCTAACTATTCAGGAAACATAGTTAAGAAAATCTTAGCCTGAAGCCAACCAAGGCAAAAACATGAGACCCTATCTGAAAAAAATAACCTAAATGCAAAAGAGCTAGAAGCATGATTCATAGGATAGAGTAGTTGCCTAGCAAGAATAGGTTCTGAGTTCAAACCCCAATACCCCTATAATTAATGAAAGACGATTCTCATCAGGACTATTAGTGTCTAGAGAGTAGCTATTGGCTTTGAATTTCTAGATGAACTTTGTAATGCTGAAATGTATTTTGCACAAAAGAAAATAATTTTCAAACAAGGTCCTTAGTTGGTAGAGATTACCCAGAAACAAAGTCCATTGAAACTCAAATTCAATGAAGGCTGAAAAGGAAATGTAGACCGAAGATCTCATTTCTCCCCTTCTCCTTGTGCTACTTTGCTGACTTGTTATTGGATTTGAGTAAGCCACACTTTTTTTATGTAACTTAAACTCCTAGATTCCTACATTAGGCTTCCCATATACATCATTATCTTAGTGCTAATTTTAAAAGGACACTTTATTACAAATAAGTAACTGTCATTCTTCAGCTTTCTATAATTAATCATATTTTTGTGTGAAACAAGGTGGTTTGTATAATAGGCTCAACAAATCCGAAGCAGTTCAGTTGCTGGGCTAGCAATGCTAGGCTGGGATTCTGTGTGTGGTGGCGCTTGTTTACGGAATAAGAGGGGAAGCAGGACTTGTCTTTCCTCTCGCACCCAAAGCCTCACTTTTTTACTCTTCCCTCCTATTGGTTTGTCAAGTGAGCAGAGGCTGAAGGATTGACACTTTACTGCTCAAAAGTTGCCTGTTTTTCTGCTAGAGTATTAAGAAATTCAGCCTAAAGAAATGAACAGCAAAGCTGGGCACCCGTGCCTCACATTTGTAACCCTAGTCACTCAGAAAGCTGAGATCTGAGGATGATGGTTTGAAGTCAGCCAGGGCAGGAAAGGCTGTACCAGTCTTATCTCCAATTAATCACAGAAAAAGCTCAAGTGGTAGAGTGTTAACCTTGAGCAAAGGGAGCTTAAGGACAGTTCCTAGGCCCCTAGTTCAAGGCTCAGGACTAGCAGAAAAGAAAAAAAAAAAAAAGAAATGACCATAACTGTATTCATATGGGAAATAACTGTGCCTTGGACTGTTCATGTTTATGGGCTAAGTACCTAACCAGTCTTGTGTCATTTTGTATATGGGAGAGTGTGCTAGCAACATGGCACCAAAAGGAATGAGAATGGCCCTGTTTTCCAAAGTGGTTAAGACTGCAGTAATAGAAAGCCAAGTCTTCTCTTCCCAGGAGCTGTACTAGGGCTCAGAGCCCTTTATATGGGTTTGAGATGCAGTTGTGTGTTTTTCATTTCAGAATGGCTTCTCATTTTAAGTAAGTTAGCTCCCCATATTTCTTCTCCTTACGGCACAGGCCAGGTGGATCATGTCTCGTTTTACAGTGACTAATGGATAATTTGACACTCTGCTTGCTAAAAACGACTCAGCAACTCAGTACATCAGGACTTCTGCACTGATAAAGTGATACAATGAAAGCATATGGTAGATGAATGGATTTAGCTCTTTTTGAAGTCTGATTTTCAGATTCTTCCAATTACCGACTTTCCCATCATTTAAAATCCTGGATAAAGTCCACATTAAAAACATCTTTCTGAAGTCAGAAAAGTGATTTGGAAACATTTGAATTTAATTATTAATTTTCACTTTCCATTTAAAAGGCAGTTTCCTGGTAGTCGATAAGAGTATGTTTTTAAAATTTTTGTTTATTTTAGGGGTTTTTTTGGTGCCAGTACTGGTACTTGAACTCCAGGCTTTGGAACTGTCCTTCAGCTCTAGTTGTGCTCTACCATTAGAGCCATAGCACTATTTGTGTCTTAATTAATTATATCCTTATCCTCAAATTAATTAATTGAACTTCAATCCTCAAATCTCAGTCTTCCGAGTAGCTAGGATTATGTAAACCACCAGCACCAACAGAAGTATGTTTTTTGTACCTATCTTTTAGGAGCTAACTTGGGGAGAGAAGGATAATAGCTGTAAAATATACTGTCAAGGGTATTAGAGATACCAAGAGGAACAAAAGGATGATTCTAGCTGTAGTGGTCAGAAACTTTGAAGAAAGAATGGAACAGTTGTGTGAGCCTTGCTGGTAGGGGTGTTTCAGTGGGTGAAGATCACAGCAGCAGAGGTTGGCATAGTATATTCAAGGGAGCATGAATAAAGGCCAGCATAGTGCTTAAGACCACCGACTATGAAACCAAGGCTGTGCTAGTTCTAAACTACCTTTTTTTTTTTTCGCTGTTTCTTAACCTTTCTTTACCTCAGATTTCCCATAATGTACTTGTTATATTGAAGTTGTAGACCTACAAGAATCTGCCTTCAAACACTGGTAGCACAGAGGAAGTATAATTAGTACACTGGTGAGGAGTATAGGGAAGCATAGAAGACAGGTGTTTTCAGGATGGAGTGGATTCACTGACATCTGGACTCTCAGGACTGATGTGGTTTGTGGAGAAGAGCCACAACTAGTTACCTAGCAGAACAGAACGAAGAGGAGATAATGGTTAAGAGGATTATAATACTCCAGACTGAACAGAATTCAAGACCAGGACTCAGTGGCGGAACCTGGGCTTGGATTAGCAAGGAGGGACTGACTGGGAAACATTTACTGAGAAACGGTTGTTAGGGTCTGAGGGGGAAGCCTTGGGGCCACAGAGGCAAAATGCCATCAGTGCCTGTCTTAAGTGGGAGAACTCAAAATAGAGTTCTTAGGAAGAGCCACAGCATGTGCAAGAAGAGGAGGGAGATCCATTTCACGAGTCAAGAAGTTAAGGACAATCACTGAGTGTGTCATTGAAAGGCTTATATGCTGCTCCAAGAAGAGAAAGAGCCAGCATTGTACTGTTTTAGTAAATGAGATAACAGGGAAGAAGCTGCATGAAGTGAACATTATAGTAATTTTCTTTACTGTTCCTTTAAGAGAAAGTATAAGCCTACAACAGTGGAAAAATGTCCTTAACCCAGTGGACTCACTTGATGTGTGGGCAGTCATGGAGCTCTGCGGACTGCCCGTAGCACTGTCGATGTGTTAAGTGTCCATTAGTGCTGGGCCCAGAATTGCATAATCTCAGTCTCTGGTGGCCATTAGGCGGACGAATTTAAAGATAAGGCCTTTGGGCAGATAGAAAACTTTGAGTAGCTGAATCAGGCCAGTCCTGTAGGAATGCAAAAAAAAAGGAGACAAAAATCAAGAATTGTTTCTGATAGGATATCATCAGGACCTGCTCTTACCAAAGGTTTGAAAGCAGGAGCAAAGATGGTTCTAGGTTGCTATCCTGTATGCCTGGGAATTGAGCATACAATCCACTAATACAGATTAGAAGAGAGAAGTTAGTGAGTTCATTTTATATCTTTAACACCCTGAGATTTCTAATGTGTCTAGGGCATATTATTTTGATATGTTCTCATTCTGATTCTCCTGTGATTTAACCTTTAGCACCTTCTACTGGAAGAATCTCAAACAATGTGACTTCCTCAGGAGCCGGGGAACCAGCTGGCTCAGCTGCGGGGCAGCCCCAGCCCAGCGACCAGGACACATTGGTGCAAAGGGCGGAGCACATCCCCGCAGGGAAGCGAACTCCCATGTGTGCTCACTGCAACCAGGTCATCAGGTTGGTTATTTCTTTGAAAATCTCTGAGAAGTACCTATGTTGTGGGTATTTCAAATACTCTATCATGTCTGTAACTTTATTAGTAAATTCGTTCTTGCAGTAACAGTGTTGTGGTGGCACACCTGGCCTGTGGTCTCTCCTTTGCTTGCTCCACAATCTCACCATGCTAAATAAATGCGTTTTATTAGAATGTATTTAATAGGATATAATTCTGGGTCCCAGAAAAGAGTACTTCTACAGGATTATGTGGTAGAAATAAACTAATATAAAATCAAGTGTGCTTTATCCTGATAAATAAAACAATATTTTTTATCTTTAGGCTTAATAGTAATAAAAACAAAATAAACACTGGCTTATTATGAAGTTTCTGTAAGTAATAATACTCTGGTTGTCCAGACTGGTGTTTGGGAATTCTGTATGCTGTATTCTGAATTAGAACTCTCTTATGGAAATAGTAGTCACTGCTGTCATTTGTGTGCTGTCATGAGCAAGTAAAATTCCTGGATGAGATAACAGATGTCCCACCCTATCAGTTGCAGATTCTTGTCTGATTGTCCAATTCCATAATATAATTACTACTATTCACACTTTGGAAAAACCTAATGAGGATGGAAAAAAATATGAAGATCGAAGTAGAAGTTAGTGTTACCACACCTATCTTGCTTTGGCTTCAGATTTCATGTGAGGACAGGATGTAATTTTAATGCACAGACATCCTGCCATAAATATGTATTATGCTAATATTGTAAAGGACTAGCACTTACTGCTCCCTCACCTGTTGAAATTTTACATTGTTCTGTATTATGCTGTACTTATTATCACTTAAACATTAAAGCTTCACCTACTAAGGAGTTAATAGGGATGGGGATTAGTTCATGTAAGATCATGTAACAATAATTAACATAGCACATTTGCCTGGAGCTCAGATGCCAGCGCAGCTTGAATAGATTGTGGTTAGGTCAGGAACCCGGTGGAAGCCTAATTCCAGTTCCTGGCCTGCGTGTCAGTGTCACTTACCCAGGCAAGGAGGTGTAGATCAAGTGACATTCTCTTGGACACCTGTTTTCAAAACAAGCTGCAGTTGCAGGCTTAATCCTTTTAACACCGAGTATTATACCCAGGCCAATGCTGAGAAGTGTAGGATTTAGTGTATAACTTATATGGTTAGTGTTCCATCATAAACTCACCATTGTTTTAGAATTCATGTTTTATATTTACTCTTTTAATATTTCAAATTTTCAAAAATGATTCTTATATAAAGGCAAATTTTGTATTTTGTTGTTTTGGAGTTTCGTTTGTTTTGGAGCCTGTTTCTTTTTTTTAGTAGTTACTTGCTTTGGAAAATGTCAAAACCCTGTATGTTAGTACTGAGCTTATTATTGCTATAGAGCCTATACAGTTTAAAACTTCATCATCAGATTAGTTTGAAATCTTTTGGTTTGTTTGGATCTTAAAAAGTTCATGGATCTTTAAATTATTTTGGAGGTACTACTTTGACTAGTTACAAATGAGTGAGAAGTTAAACTTTGACACTTAAAGTTTGCCATGGAACATTTCCAGTACAATTATGATAATGCCCCTTTATCAACTTGATTTAGGGTGCTGTTTTGATAGGACAGGATACAAAATCAGACTAACCTAGCTGAAACCACGTTTTAGTTTTCCTGGTGGAATAGGCTTGTAAACATTCTAGTCTATTGGGCTGGGAAGGTGGCTCAGTGGTAGAGTGCTTGTCTTGCATGCATGAGGCCCTGGGTTCTATTCCTCAGCACCACATAAGCAAAAAGAAAAAAGCCAGAAGTGGTGCTGTGGCTCAAGTGGTAGAGCGCTTGCCTTCCCCCCCCCCCCCCCCCACCACCAATGTTCCCAATCCTTCTCCTCCCCCCCCCCCCGCCAAAAACAAAAAAACCCAAAAACATTCTAACCTATTTCTTGAGTGTTGCATCTAGTTAAAATCTGTGGCCATTTCTGTTGCATGGAATTAAATGAGCCCTTTATGTTTAGCTTCTTTGTAAAAGAAGTTGGAAATATATTGATGCTTTAGTTTCTAGGTCGATATGGAATGTTTTTAAAAATGACCACATTAGTATTGTTCTGTGTTTGCCTATAGTACAGCCCATTTTGACCACAATCAGGAAAGCCATTATTTGTTCCAGTGAAAGACGAGTGTTAACATTAGTGATGTGCTGTTTTGCTTAGTGACTCTCAAACTTTTCTCAAAAGGAGAACTATTTCAAGTTATTATTTCAAGTAGCAAACAGTTTATAGCCTATGCTACCATCCATTTCAGTCTCAGAACACTTATTTATTGTCCCTTCTAGTTAAGATTTTACTGGAAAATGGGAGATTTCCCCTAGCGGTACCACTGATACAGAAATTGAAGGTATATTCAATTTGGTATGTCTCACCAAAGTCATATGTTGAAGTACTAACCTTCAGTATCTCAGAATATGACTATCGGAGGGGAATTTGGTCTTTAAAGAGGTCAGCTTGGTCATTAGGGTGGGCCTTAATCTGATATAACAGATATCATTGTAAGAGGAGAGTCACAAAGGAAGGGGTAACCAATGCTTGACCAGAAATGTACTCATTACCTTACTCATGTAACTGTAACCCCTCTGTACAGCATCTTTACAATAAAATAAAAGAAGAGGAGAGTCAGGTGCTGACATACCTATAGGGAATTCCAGGTGAAGACAGAGAAAATGGCCATCTATACACCAAGGCCTTGAAGAACCACTCTGCCAACCTCTTGATTTGGGGCTTCTAGCCTCTATTATTATTATTAAATTATATAAATTACATAAATTGTTATTTAGGCCATTTATTCTGTGATAATTTGTTACAGTAGCCCACAACAACTAGAGAAAAACAAACACAAACAAGGAGGTCTATAGTAAAGTTATTGCGGCAGGTTTAATCCAGGTAAGTCTTGGATTGTACAGGTACTCGGAGAAATAAGGATTATCTCGCTTGAGCAAACTTATTTCTTTCCTTTGAAAGGAATGGCAAGTAATAAGCTCAGGATTCTACTTACCAGAGTTGTAATTTATACAAAAAATTCATTTTAAAATTTAGTATAAATATGAAGTTTTAATAGGGAGTCCCTGTTCTTGTATATACAACAGGGTGCACCTGTTGAAATTTGCAGTTCCTTTCTCTTTTTTGCTTGGCATCACAGAAAATGAAGAAGGTCCAAAGTTTTGTCCCATAGTTCCTCTTTCTGAGCCAGTGAAATGCTTTAACTCTCTCCTTTCTTTTCCTTTGTCAGTTAGCCTAGTAAGGGCTCAGTTGCCTGGGCAATATGTAGCAGGTGAGGGAATTTTTTATTCCACTTTACCCTTAACCAAGCCTGTCTGTCCAGTTCACAAATGGAAACCCAATCCTCCCTTGGACAGGTAGAACTTCTTTAGTTGTTAATCCTGTGTTAATGAATTTGTTAAGTTAGTCTTCGCTGAAACAGGAAAGGAGCGCTTCTGTTACAGGCAAAAGGATTTTACTGTTTAATCTGTACATGAGTAAGAGGGCTTTGATGGGAAAGATGCTTGCTCTGTAAGTTTCAGGAGATGGGTTAAGCCATTGTTCACTCTGAGGGTGTTGGAAGGAGACCTACAAGAGCAAGAACCATTTTTAACTCCTTTTAGAGGCTCAGAGGGACTGTGTTTACCATCTACAATTCCATTCACCATTCATATCTGAATTTGAACTAATGAAGTCCTGTTCATTTTAATAGATCATATTCTAAATGATTAATACTGCACTCCATGCCTGAAATATTTTTTAAAAAGGCTTCTAAGAATATATGAAATATATAAGACAAGAACAGGGGTAAGGCTATTAAAAACCAAGCTAGTACTAACTCTGAACAGTACCTAGATAATGACCAATGGTCCTTAGACCTATGGCCTATGATTAGGGTAGCAATTTTTCTTTCAGCTTTTTTTGCCAAAAAGAAAGTTTTATCATCTACTGCACAGCAAGCTAACTTAAAAAATCTTGCTCAAATAACTAGTATATATCTGAGACAAGCAGAAAAGGTCAGAGAAGATGATGGTAAGCAAAATGAACCCCAAGATAAGGACACAAGTGTTTTTTTTTTCTTTCTTGCTATTGTTTCTAACGTATTTATAAGGTACCACGTGATTTTTTGTTGATTTGTATGTCCCTCCCCCATGGTATAACCCCTGTTTTCACTGTATTTGATGTTGGTATAATTTGAGGAGTGGAAGGGAAAAAACAAATTGTTTAAATAGGGATACAGGTTGACCCATTGCAACAATACTGTGTCAAAACACGAACTTTACAATTTAGGCCGGGGTGGGAAGTGGTGGGGGGAGAGTGTAGTTGTGGAGGTGGGAAGGAAGGGATGGTAGGGGTAAAACAAAGAAGGAGGCAACATGCTTGATAAAAAATGTACACATTACCTTGCTCATGTGATTGTAACCCCTCTGTACAGTATTTTCACAATAAAAAACATATTAAAAAATCTTGCTCAAGAGAAACAAAACTATTCTTGTTACAAAAATCTGAGAGGAGTTTTTCCAGGGTATCACTGTGGAAATGACTGTGGTCTCAGAGCTTTCTAGAACAGCCCACAGGAAGAGCGATTTCACAGAACTATCCTTCAGCAAATGAAGTTATATCTTTCACTTAGCACAGGTTTAATAAATAATAATAATATAATAATAATAATAATAAAAGGTTTAATTCTTGGGCTTGGAGGCATGGTCCAAGTAGAAAAGGGCCCATCTAGCAACCATGGGGTCCTGAGTTCAAACCTCAGTTCCATTAAAAAAAAAAAAAAGATACAATTCTGGGACTGAGGTTCCAGGCCCAGATATTAATAAGTTATTCTAGAATAACTATGAACTCTTTTTTTTTTTCCCCCTCATTTAAGCTTCCTCAAGTACTTGGAGAAAAGCTTTTCTTTCTTTCTTTTTTAAATAAGTTTGTTTTTTTTTGTGTGAAAATACTGTACAGAGGGGTTACAGTTACATGAGTAAGGGAATGAGTACTTTTTTTTTTTTTGTCGGTTGTAGGGCCTGAACTCTGGGCCTGGGCACTGTGCCTCAGCTCTTCAGCTCAAGGCTCGCACTCTACCACTTGAACCACAGGGCCATTTCTGGCTTTTTCTGCTTATGTGGTGCTGAGGAATTGAACCCAGGGCCTCCTGCATGCAAGGCAAGCACTCTACCACTGAGCCACCTTTCCAGCCCCATGAGTACATTTCTTATGAAGCACTGTTGCCTTCTCCTTTGTTTTTCCCTTACCATCCCTTCCCTCCCACCTCCTCAACTACACTCCCCAAAGCTTTTCTTTTTTGTTCTAGTTGCATACCAACACAAGTGCTTTAGTAGAAGGGAGAGGTTTAGTTTGAGCAGACTTACTTTGAAAGCTCAGGAGCCAGGTAGCAGTACTGGCCTGTAGGGCCACTCAGCTGTACAGGTAAGCTGAAGATGTGCCTGGACAAAAAATTCATCCTGCACTATAAATTGTCTTGAATCTGTTTTAATACCCTTACAAATTGTAACACAAAACTCCAAAGTCTTTTTATACCCTGTGTGGTAGTCATAATAAATTTAGTCTGGGAGATTTTTTTTTAATGTGTACATAGTCAGGTAGCTATGTGATGGAAAAGCTCAGCATGCTCATAAAACTTTGTCCAGCTTTGAACAGTGTGACTTCTTGATTTATCTGAAAGTAAACTATGTGCCAAATATATACCGAGGAAACTGGATAAGGGAACTTGGTGCATAGGACTGTTTACAAGCTAGTTAAAAATAGAAGGACAGCCTACCGAAGGCAGTGTAATGTGTTTACCCGCAGTAATTCCTGCATACCTCTTTTCTGGTTCCTACTAGTTGATGAAGGCATTCCTCATTAGTCATAACAAAATAAAAGCACCTTAAGTTTAAAAAACAATAAGAAACTACTTATCAAAATTGTCAAGGGCCCACATGCACTGGATTGTACAAAATAACATCATTATTAATGAGGAACTCTGGATATTAATTCTTTGACAGATGTATATTTGGCAAAGATTTTCTCCCATTCTGGAGACTGCCTTCAGGCTCCTCAATTGGTTTCTTTGCTGTGAAGAAGCCTTTTTTGTTTGACACAATCCTTACTTGTGTCCATCCTTACTCTTATTTATTGAGGTATTGGACTTCTATTTAGAAAGTTATTGCCTATTCCTATGTCTCAGCATTTTCAATTTCATGGAAGTCTTTGATCAACATTGAATTGATATTAGTACAGGCATCTGCATCTACTTTCAGTCTTCTACTTGTGGATGTCCAGTTTTCCCAGCACTGTCTGTTGAGAAAGATCTCCTTCTCCTAAGTAGTTTTTTTTTTTTTTTTGGCACTTTGCAAAAATCGGTTGGCTATAACTTTGTGGGTACTTCTGGGCCTTATATTCTGCTGTAGAGGTCTCTGTGTTCGTTTTTATGTCACTATCACGATGTTTTTGCTACGATGGCTCAGTAGTATAGTTTGAAGTCAGCTGCTGTGAGATTTCCTGCATTGCCCTTTTCACTCAGGATTGTTTTGGATATCATCTAAGGTCTTTTGTGGTTCCATATGAACATCATGATTATTTATTTTATTTCTGTGGAGAATGTCACTGAAATTTTGATGGGGATGTCAATCTAACAATATTAAGATTTCTTCTCACTTCAGCCAAGATCAACAACATAAACAACAACAAACGCTGGTTAGGACGTCGGGGAAGGGTTAAAGAACACGATTGGTGGGAAAGCAAATTAGTACAACCAGTTGGAAAACAGTATGGTGGTTCCTTTAAAAACTAAAAATAGAACTACAGTATGGTCCAACAAGATCACTCTTGGAAAATCAGAATATCCTACAGACACTGTACACATGCTTATTTTAGCCAAACTGTAGAGGCAGCCTACCTGTCCTACAACTAGTGAATGGTCACAAAAATGTGATATGTAGACACAGTGAAGTATTTTACACTCATAAAGAAGAATGAAATTATGTCATTTGCAGGAAAATGATGGAACTAGATATCATCATGCGAAACAAAGTAAGCCAGATTTAGGACAGAGGTCACATATTTGCTCTTCTATGAGGAATCTAGTTGTAAAAGACAGACAGATATCTTTACAGAGCATGATTATAACGGAGGGACAGTTTGGAGAATGTGGAAGAAAAGGAATATGAGAGAATGATGGAGGGTGAATAATATAAAAGTACATTGCTTATGCATCAAGCTGGCAAAAGGAATTTGCTGAAAATTTGAATAATAGACGGGTACGGCAGATATGAAATGAGAGCAGTACAGGGGGCTGAACTGGCTAAAGCATCATGTATGCATGTGTGAAATACCATGGTGAAACCTTTTTTTTTATAGTTACGATGTACTAAAAAAAATGACTGACAAGAATGTAACAGGTTCTTTTGAGGGTTGGACACCAGTGAGAAGAAAGGATGAACATAGAGGGTGAATGGTGAATATGCAAAATATTTTATCTACATGTATGAAAATGGAACAGTAAAACATGTTGAAATTGTTTTATGAAGAGAGGGAGGAATGAAGGATAGCAGGAGTAAGTTTGAGCAGGGGACATTGTATGCTTGCATAAAAATATCACAATGAAATAACCTATATAATCAACATATGTTAACAGAAAAAAATATGTTAACAAAATGTGGATCTAGAAAACACTCTTCTACCGTACAGAAAAAAATTTCATCCCTAGACTCTCTACTTCAGATCTTTCAGAACTGAGGGCTGGTTCTAAGTACTCATAGGACAATTTGCAGATAGTTACTGAATAACAAGGTTTGTGTTACTGTCAAAGATCGAATAACGCTGTGGCTCTGTGATGCTCATTGCTGACTTTTTCTATTAATCTGCCTAGAAGTCCAGTGTCTGGTCCTTTCTACAAGTTACCTTGTGGTCACTCTGATGTTAGTTGATAGTAGGGAAGATCAAAGGCAGAATATCAATTGACTAGAATATCCAGAAATTCCGTTTGCAGCGTTAGTTCAATCAGTGATTTTATGGTATTTGGTCATATCTCCTGAACATTCTGTCTCTCAGCCAACTCCATCTGTTGAACTAAGTTTGTAATAACTGCCCTGGTCTGTCTCACAGGAATGCTGCCTGGGCAAATTAGATAAGTGTAAAAGTGCCTCGGAGGTAAAGCCAATTTATGAATAAAAATTAGTGTGGTACAGCTACTGGAAAGTGTGTTGCAGAGGCTAGAATGGTTCATCTCTGCAAGCTTCATGACTAGATAAGGCTACATAATGGGTTCCTGTCAAGTGAACCAAATCCATCTTATCAGTTCATGACTGCATAGCAGGTAATGGGAAAAGTCTCTTTAAAAACATTTGTTTCCTCAATCCAAATGTGCATTAAAAATCAATACTGTTTAGGGAGGAGCAAGCGCAGAGTAGCTAAACAATAGATGTAAAATTTCAAATGCATGAGTTGAATAAGATGTACAGTCTGTAGGTAATAGATCTGTGCTGCGTACTTAACATCTTTTGAGAGTCGATCCCATGCTAAATGTCTTACCACAAAAAGATGACATTCAAAAAGACAGCCATATATGAAACAAGATCTTTCCCAATGGCTTCAAACAACTCATAATACAGGGTTCATAGATTCTGTAGTTCATTTTGGAGGGAGAAAAATTGGTGTTTGGGGCTGGGAAGGTAGCTCAGTTGTAGAGTGCTTGCCTTGCATGCATGAGGCCCTGGGTTCAATTCCCCAGTACCACATAAGCAAAAAGAAAAAAAGCTGGAAGTGGCGCTGTGGCTCAAGTGGTAGAGCGCTAGCCTTGAGCTGAAAAGCTGAGGGACAGCGCCCAGGCACAGAGTTTAGGCCCCATGACCAGACCCCCCCCCAAAAAAAATTGATGTTTAATGAAGTTAAGAAATAAGTAAATGCGTGGAGAAGAAATATTGACTATTGTCTTTTCTCTAATAATAATTACCACTTTTTTAAAACCTTGGAAATTACCAAATGTTTCTTTATTTTCTAGAAATGTCAACTCATCTCTCTTTAAAACACACATTGTTGCTCTGCTGCTTCATTTCGGTCCCTGTTACATAGATCCTAATGCCCAATCTTTGTTATGATATAGACATGTTGACTTATGGTAACTTAGTGATAAGTGCCACTAAGTAATCCTCCAGTGATAGTCAGAGTGGGGAGAGGATGGTGACCTTTCTTAAGTGCTTGGTTCCTTTACCCCTCTCCACATAAATGCACAATCCCTGCGAGCACTCACAGTACCCTGTAACCAGTTCTGTGCAGGAAAACGAAGCAAGTATTTGATTGGATATTGCATAAAAATGTCCTATCCATGATAACAAGAAACTCTGATCATCAAGTCAAGTTGATCTGTTTTCTTCTGGCAGGGGACCATTCCTAGTGGCACTGGGGAAATCTTGGCACCCAGAAGAATTTAACTGTGCTCACTGCAAAAACACCATGGCCTACATTGGATTTGTAGAGGAGAAGGGGGCTCTGTATTGTGAGCTGTGCTATGAGAAATTCTTTGCTCCTGAATGTGGTCGATGCCAAAGGAAGATCCTTGGAGTAAGTACTAGAAGCGATTTTTTTTTCATCCTTAGTGAGTTCTACAGCAAAATAGTTGTTCTGTTATAAAACACTTCCACCGTTTATACTTGTTATTTTCTTTTTGTTTTATCAGCCCTCTCTGCTTTCATCACTATTTATTATTGTAAAGCAAAACTAAATAGACCTCTGTAGAAGTATATCAGACTCGTGGGGTTAAGTTGTCCTTGGTTTTGTCTTACTGAGTGCTGGCTTGTCTGGCAAAAGTCTCCACTGTGGGGAAAACATAACTTTCTGTGGGTGTGCTACCTCCGCAGGACCCTGTTTGCTCAGGAATGAAGAGGTCGCCCAGGACCACACACATCACACTTCTCAGAACTGACACCTTCACTGTTTTAAATTAAATTCCAGGACTTTTATAAGAGCAGCAGTTCCCCACTTGTTGGGGTTCAAGCACAGGACACTGACCTTATGAAGTGTATAAAACATGAGACTTACAGTAGATACATTTACCTTCAATGCATATAATGTTTAAAAATATAACTACAAAAAATGTAACTACAGTTTTGAGTACACAGGTAATAGAAAAATCGTTTCAAACCACACCTTTTTTTTTTTGCAGAAAGGGAGTGATTTAGGAACCAGATGCATGATAAATAATGATGAATAAATGCATGTGCTGTTCTGGAATATCTTAATTGCCAGTGATTGAATCAGGGACAGCTTGTTCTTGAAGGGGACTAGGAGGTAGAAGTTGATTTTCAAAAAAACTTTGTTGCCTGACCACATTTTAAAGAAAAAGTCAGAAATGGTTTTGCTAAATTCTAATACTCTCAACAGGAAAACATAGTCATGAAATTAATTTGTATTAATTGAGAGGAATGTATGAATTATTGAGTGAATAGGTCTAAAACTGAATATACATATGTCACCTGAAACATTTCTGTTATTAACTTGTACAATATTTTGGGAATAAAGAGAATAGGGGTTTCAGTTATACCAATGGCAGGTAATTAGTAAGGAATACATTGTAATGTATGAGTGTGTTCTATGGATTCCAGAGTCTGAGGGAAGTAAGGTTCTAGGATATGGAATGAACCAGTTGCCATGTTCCTCACTGTCCTTCAGAAATTATTTTTGAATGACTGACTTTTTCTCAACCCAAAGAAATACTTCATTGTAAAACCAACTCCCTCAGACTTCCTTTATTCATTAAAATTGGGCTCAAGGCTCTCATGCCTGGTATAGTTAACCAGAGGCCATTGCAGATTAGAATTATGCTTTATGGTTCAAATACTTTTGGTACAGTAAGTGCTAGGGAAGTCACAGCTGATTCCAAATTGCCAACTACAAGCTAAACTAATTGGATTATGCTAATTATATCACTAATTTTTTGCTTCCATAATGTACCAGAATAAGCATTTTTTCCTTTTCATATGTTTCCTCTCCTTGATAGAAAACTATTAAGCTAATATTTTCTGACCCCTTTGAAAGAAAGCAGACTTCTGTAGTCACTCACAATTATGAAATACTTCTTTCATTTACCATCTATGTAAAGTTTTTTTTTTTTTTTGGTTGGTCATGGGGCTTGAATTCTGGGCTTGGGCGCTGTCCCTGTGCTCTTCAGCTCAAGGTGAGCGCTCTACCACTTGAGCCAAAACACCACTTCCAGTTTTTAGTGGTTTATTGGAGATAAGAGTCTCATGGACTTTCCTGCCCGGGCTAGCTTTGAACTGCGATCTCAGCCTCCTGAGTAGCTCGGATTACAGGCGTGAGCCACCGGCTCCTGGCCATCTATGTAAAGTTTTAGTAACAATAATTATTCTCTTAAAAAGGTCATTTATTGGTCTTTGTGAGACCAGTGCATAGGTGTCAGGGATATGTGAGTCTATTTTTAGGTATCTCCTGTTACTTTGAAGACAGGTTTAAGGGGAGGTGTCTTGGTGTGTCTGCTTTAGGTTAGCTCTTCTACAGGGGTGAGAGTAAGCTTTGGTTTATTTATTGTCATCTCTCTTTCACCCCATTTAACTTCTATAACAGGAAGTCATCAATGCTTTGAAACAAACTTGGCACGTTTCCTGTTTTGTGTGTGTGGCCTGTGGAAAGCCCATTCGTAATAATGTATTTCACCTGGAGGATGGGGAACCCTACTGTGAGACTGGTAAGAGCATGAGTCCTTAGTTTGAGAGTTGAGTAAAGGTAAAATATGAACCCTTATCTTGCTATAAAGTTGTTAGACCACCAGGTTTCCCTAATTGTTCTGAAGGCATTTCATTCCGCCTCAATATTACAGCAGAATGTAGAAGGTGTTTATATGACTTGGTCAAAACAGATATTCCCAACTTCATTATGAGCACTCAAAATGTAAAAATAAGCACTGCTCAATAGGAAAAACATTTTGCTTGAATCTCTAATAACTTATTGATATATTTTCAACTAAAACATGTAACTTAAAGCTACCTCCACAGTCTACTAGTGAATATTGGGTGGTTATAAACATGAATGTGTTCTGGCTTTGCTCTTCTATGCAACTGCCTTGAAAAGTCAACTGGAAATCCTTTGTTTCTTCTACTTGACTTGGATGGCTTCTCTGGAAATACTATTTTTCTTTAACTCAGCTTTAAGAACCTATTTATTCCATTGTCTTATTAGCTGAGTTTTGCATGCCTCCTTTTCTTTTCCAATGTCAGTGAATTTTGTAACACTTACTTATAGTCTCTTTAGATATTTCTACCACAACATGTATTACAAAATATGGATTTTTCCCTTTATCATACCTTTACTTCAGTCCCACTATTTAATTTTATTTTACCTTGGAACTCAAAGTGTCATTCTAGAGAAGAGAATATTCCAGAATGATCATGTTCAAAATTAGCCAGTGATGAACCATCATCTCTAACTCCTTCTCTTAGACTCTTATTTTCACCTCCCTTTTGGCTCCATAATGAGAAACAACTTGGATCTATTCCACATTAATCACCAATGAGCACTAGAAATTCTAGAAAAATACACCATGCACCATTTGATATAGTTTAGCTACAAGCTGCCTACACTATTCAATCAGGACATAATTGTAGTTTTTCTGAAGAGACTTTTTGTGTGTGGTTGTTGGTTAGTTGGTTTTCTTATTTAGTTGTTTAATTGTCTTGACTGACAGTTCCTTCCTAGCCAAAACACATTCCTATCTAGCCTTTCTATATTTAATGTATTCTAAGAAGACAAATTCTTAAAACCCAAAGAATTACCATACAGGAAAAATAGTACTGAATATTTATTTAAATGTTGCTTCTAGCTAATTTGGTCTTTTTTCTTTTCTCTTCCTTAACTTTTCAAGTCAGTTTTTAACACAGTCTTCCTTAGCTTAATAGATGTTTCCTCTATCCATGATCCATGGGTTCAAAGTGAAAAATATAATATGAAGAATACAATAAAGCATGTCAAATTGTATAAATAATGATTGCTAATGGAAACCTGAACTCTCAAGCCAAGTATTAGACAGCTTGAAATTTTTTTTCTGCATTTAGACATTATTTATTTACTATACAAAATATTAACATCACCAGCTTCAAATGTCTGGCCCTTTCGCCTACCCTTCAGCTTTAATTTTTTTGTGATCCCATGTATCTTTACCTTCAATATTTCATTTAATTCCAATTTTGTTGCTCTTTCCTACGAATTATCAAACTTTGTCAAGTTTGACTCCTTTCTCTCCTCCCTCAATAGATTATTATGCCCTTTTTGGTACTATATGCCGTGGATGTGAATTCCCCATCGAAGCTGGGGACATGTTCCTGGAAGCCTTGGGTTATACCTGGCATGATACTTGCTTTGTATGCTCAGTAAGTAAACTCTATCTTCCTAATTAAATTGGTAGACTATGGCTAGTTCTGGTGCTAATATTGTGTAATCCTTTATAAGAAACACAATTTTACAGTGATTTGAAAAATTGTTACAGTTTTGGTATTTTCTGAAATTATCTGCCAATTATCTGAAATTTTCTGTGTTAATACTTTAACACATTTTATTCTATAAGGAGAAGCTATGTATCTCCTATATAGAAATATTAAATCAGTAATAATTCTTTTTTTCTTAAACTTTATTTTATTGAGCATTTTAAAGGAAAATTTTGAACCATCAGGTAGTTCTTAAATAGAAAAGGAGAGAAGAGGTAATACTGTTCAAGAGAAATGTACTCATTACCTGACTTATGTAACTGTAACCCCTCTGTACATCACTTTACAATAAAAATAAAAAAGTAACAATTATAAAAATAACATTCTGGGGCTAGGAAGGTGGCTCAGCAGTAGAGCGCTTGCCTTGCATGCATGAGGCCCCGGGTTCCATTCCTCAGCACCACATAAGCAAAAAGAAAAAAGCCAGAAGTGGCGCTGTGGCTCAAGCGGTAGAGTGCTAGCCTTGAGCTGAAGAGCTGAGGGACAGCGCCCAGGCCCAGAGTTCAGGCCCCATGACCGGACCCAAAAAAAAAAAAATTAAAAAATACCATTCTATGAACACTGACAATCAGCTCTTGATTCTTTTATTTCCTTAGCAACAGCACACACATATTCTTTTCTTTTAGAGACTATAATCAACATGAAATCTTTACCTATTTTTTAGCCATCTAACATTGTAACATTTTGGCTTCAATTTTAGAGGTTAACAGTCATCTAAGATGCATTTTTTTAATTTGAGAAGTAAAGACACTTTAAATATTCACTAAAACTGAATACACAAGTGCTCTGTAAATGAGATGTTATATCACTAACTTCTGTATGACAGGAAAGAAATAATGTTAATTAGTCAGATGATTTCTACAAAAGTTGCCTTTGAGCTGACTCTTGTTTACTTCATCTATCTTAAGACCTGTCCAGGTCACACATAGCAACTCTTGGCCAATTCATTTTCTCTTTTCTAGCAAAGCTGTTCAGGGGCATTACAATGGGCAAAAGCTGTAGGAAAGGCAAGAAGCTTCACTGTCTATTTGACATATCTGTCTGTCTGACTGACATAACTGTCTATCAGCCAGATAGTTCCTCAATGAGCCAGTGAATTAAAGAGATTGCTCTTATGAATCAATAATTTAACAACAGAAGTAAATCTAAAAGAAAATTTACTCTCTGTGTGTTCAGGGCAGACTAATGTTGGACTTAACACAGGTTTGGACAAGCAATTGAGTTGTGTGTGTGCTCTATAACAAGAAATGGATACAAATGCATTGATGATAATTTAGAGAGAGAAAGTATATTGAGTATTTCCTTCTTATGTATTAACATTTCACTAAAACTGTTTCACTCTCAACAAGGAAAGTAATGATTAGTGATTTAAATAAATTGAATTACCTCCCCTTCAAAAGTCCTTCACTGCTTTAAAAGTCCACATGAAATGTCACAGTAATCTTGAGATGTCAGGTTGTATAACAGCCCTGTGTGTAGTGCTTTGTCATATGATCTGCTAGAGAACCGTCATGGTCTCCTTCCCTGGCATACTTGATTAAAATACTGATATTCTCTCAATACTTCTTTTCCAGGTGTGCTGTGAAAGTTTGGAAGGTCAGACATTTTTCTCCAAGAAGGACAAGCCTCTTTGCAAAAAGCATGCTCATTCTGTGAATTTTTGAAAGCCAACAGTTCAGAAGAATTTTGAAAAAAAAGGAAAAGAATTAAATTACCAATTAAGTTTTAGATTATTTTCATGAAGAGTTGAAAACTAATAGTATCCTGAAGAGAAACTTCTATCATTAAAAACCAAGTCTATGAGGAAATACTTGGTTTTATAAAAAGGACAGTTTAGCATTTAGGTAGTACTTTTTCCTGTATTTCCCCCCCAAATAACCTTTATCAAAGTTTTTCTGATTGACTATTAAAGTCATCTTAGAATACATCAAAGAATGAAATTTTAGGAAGAATGCCTCTAGTCTCTATTCTGAAATAATTATACTTTCCTTGATAAATAGTTATCAGAGTATCTGCAAAAAGCAGTAGAAATGACTTAAACTTTATTAATAAGAGAATCATGGTTAAAAACTGTTTATCTTTGAAATAGTAAATAAGAGTTTAAACAGAATATTATCAGTAGGAAGTGTCAGTTTCATTGAAAATGTGTGTACTTTTCTTTTGGTCTTAGAATTGATCATTCCAGTAGGAAAGGCCAATGAGACTTTTGATCAAAATGTATCCAGCCAATAAGAGTGTTACATTGTTCTCTTATCTCTACCTTCCTCCCCAGAACTGCATATAGCTTACATATCTCAATTGTTGCTTTTATTGAAATAGGACAGTTTCCATTTACTGTGTATACTTTATCACCTGTATTAGTCAAACTCCAATTTTTTCCCTCCCTCATATTGAGATACAGAGCTAATTAAATGTCTTGAAGCTCTACAGTTTTCTCTGTGCTGCGAAGAAGTAGGTAGTAGATAGTTAGGAGTTGTGGTAACCGAAGGATTGTGCCTAACCTAAACAACAAACCAAAAGAACCACTTTCCACTTTCAGATGATGAAAATCTGATCACTTTTAGGCCCATGCCACTGACTGAAAATTTGAGAGCTCTTCTTGCTAAGGGATAAAAAAGTTCTACATTAGGACTGGTTAGACAGCTGTGATAAAATGGTGTGTGTGTGTGTGTGTGTGTGTGTGTGTGTGTGCGCGCGCACACGCGCGTTGGGGTTTCTACATTAGGACTGGTTAGACAGCTGTGATAAAATGGTGTGTGTGTGTGTGTGTGTGTGTGTGTGTGTGTGTTGGGGTTTCTTCTTTGGTTTGGGCTTTTTGTAGTAATGTGTGAGCCACTTCCAAATGGGATCTCCAAATTTGGGAAGCTTTTAGTCCCAGAGTTTCAGTATCCTGGGAGGAAAATTTGCTGAATTATTTGGATTGCCTTGTTATTTATTTTCCCAATGGGTTAAAGAATTATGGAGATACCACCTGGAGACACAGAAACAATTGTGGTAAAACTGTGGGTACCGTTAATCTCTGCCCAGTCAGAAAACAAATTATGGCATTTAGTACATTTAGTAGCTTTCTCTTTGTTTCTCGAGTGGATGAAAGCCCATGGTCCCGCTGCAGTATAATTGGAATCTGTTTGGGGGCAAGGTGCTTTTAAAGGCCAGACAGTCCCCACGTCCTTCCAGCCCCATCACTCACTCCCACTCTGGGCCCATTGTGTGCATGTTTGTTACAGAGGAGGTTTTAGGCTACACTATTTGTTTAACCTCCCTAAGAACTTTCAAGGCATCTGTCCTGAAAGCTATTAATGTATGGTCCTGCAGGCTTATATTATATGCAGATAATAATTAACTGGGGATAAAGGAATAACAAGGGGTGACACAGTTGCAAACTGAGTGCTTCTCCAATAGCAACCCCACACTACCTCCCACCCTGCATCTTGTGTAGGGGGCAGGAACTGAATTGTGCATTATCTCAGCGCTGCTGAAGCCCCCTAGAGGCGACTTGCTGGCCCAGGACACCCATCTCCACGTCAGTCTTTCATTCTGTGTATTACAAAACAAATTGGTGGTTTTGTTTTGACATGTTCGCGTTTTGTTGCTTTAGTTTTGCCTTTCTAGATTTTATGCCAAGATAATATTTGATAAGTCAGTGCCATTTGGATATGTTCTTCAAAGATTTTTTTTTATTTAACCTGGATTTCTCATCAAGTTATATTTCTTTAGGAATATATATCATGTTTATTAGACTTTTTATTCTACATATTATTCATGGAGCATAATGTAATGTAATGGAGCATAATAAAATCCAGATTTTAAGTCCTAAGAGAGTAGCGTTGCTTCCTAAGTTATCTTTGTGTCCATATGCTTTATATCTGTGTTCCTAAGACAGTTAATCCTGTGAAATAAATACTGACCATAACCCAGAAGAATCTCTGTATTTTCTGGTGGGGATTGCCATGTTTAATTCACCAACATTAATATTTTAATAACTGACAGAGCACTTTATTCTTCTGGTGAGCTCCCTGAATATTTATTTTTCTGATTATAAATATTCTGTGTCTAGCAGGGTTATTATTATTATTGCTTCTTTAGAGCATTGACGTGTACTCTCTCAAGATATATATTTTGAAATGTACTTGATAAAAACGCAGAGAGAAATTAGCATATGACTCTAAAAAGCCTCTACTTGTATTTGCCAGTTCTCAAACTTTCATGGTAGAGTCATATGTATAGCATTTCTCTAGAGTTACGTGGGCTGTGGGTTGCAGCTTTAAAAAAAAAATGAGCTAGGTCATTTCGGTTGCCTATTGGCCACAGTGTACATGTTATGTATTGAAGATCAAGATTATACCTGAAATGTAAAACCTAAATGTTTGGTCTCATTAATACATAGAGGGAAAAAAATTTCAGTCATCAGTATCAGTGTAGCAGTGTTTATGATTATCCCTCCCACCCCAAAATGTGCCACTGTTGCAGGATCTGTCACTATGTTAGGAATGCTTGTATATGAAAGAATTCCTTTTCCCAGTTCAAATATGGATCCAAGATGATGTTTAGCATCTTTGCGACACTAGGTTTAGTCATCCCCACTGAAGGAAAGAGAAAATGCACTGAATAGCTTTATACACATTTACTTCCATGTGAGTTTCAGTGTGTCCCCTTACCCCAAATGTCTAAAGGTATTGAATTGAAATTCTTGAGTTACAATTTGCCTTACTAATCGCCAATTTCTGTTTCTATAAGTTTTTTAAGTGTGTACATATCTGCTGTGTTTTGCTGTTGGATATATTTTTGCATTAAAAAGTCACATAAGAAATATAATCAGTGTATTAATACCTTAATGGGCACATAATCAATAAATGACAGCCATGGTGAAGACATGCTCTCCTGGTTTTTCTTTGTGAATGACATATGGCTATTAATGTATCATGTGGTGGGGGGAGGAGGAGCTGTAATAATTCCCTGGAGAATCCCTCTTGTGTGATATTTACCCTTCAAAATACCCCATACCCAGCATATTTGAAAAATACAATTCTATTCTTTTTTTTGGGGGGTGTGCCCGGTCGTGGGGTCTGAACTCTGGGCCTGGGTGCTGTCCCTCAGCTCTTCAGCTTAAGGCTAGCGCTCTACCACTTGAGCCACAGTGCCATTTCCAGCTTTTATCTTTCTTGCTTATGTAGTGCTGGGGAATCGAACCCAGGGCCTCAGACATGCAAGGCAAGCACTCTACCACTGAGCCACCTTCCCAGCCAATTCTATTCATTTTTATGTTCTGCATGTAGAATGTACATTAAAATATTGACAAGTTAGTAGATAAGCTCTCTTTTTGGAATTTTTTTTTTTGGAGTCAGGTTGTGGGGCCTTGAACTCTGGGCCTGGGCGCTGTCCCTCAGCTCTTCAGCTCAAGGCTAGAGCTCAAGCTGGGAAGGTGGTTCAGTGGTAGAGCGCTTGCCTTGCATGCCTGAGGCCCTGGGTTCGATTCCCCAGCACCACATAAGCAAAAAGAAAAAAGCCGGAAGTGGCACTGTGGCTCAAGTGGTGGAGCGCTAGCCTTGAGCTGAAGAGCTGAGGGACAGCGCCCAGGCCCAGAGTTCAGGCCCCACGACCGGACCCCCCCCCCAAAAAGGCTAAAGCTCTACCACTTGAGCCACAGCACCACTTCTGGCTTTTTCCTTTTTTGCTTATGTGGTGCTGAGGAATCAAACCCAGGGCCTCAGGCATGCAAGGCAAGCACTCTACCACTGAGCCACTTTCCCAGCCCATCTTTTTAGAATATTTTTTGATAATAATATTTATTGGAATAACTGATTTGATCAGGTATTATGGTCATGGATCATGGTGAAGCTGAAATTGTCATGTATCTAGTGACAGTCTGAATTAGCCAGAAGTGACTCTGGGTGTATCTCCTCCCAGTCTCCTGAGCTCCCATAACAAGGTAGACTCACCTCCTCCTTGTTTGTTTATTGGGTTGGGCAAGATTTTTCCCCCCAGTGTTATAAAGCTAAGAGGAATGCTTCTGTTATATGCTGTATATTGTGACTAAGAAAGAAATGCAAGTCTATTTGCTCACAGTATATTAAACTCCAGAAGCCCAACTTTTAAGGGCATCAAGTCTGCATCTGACATTTTAATAGCTGCTGTTTGGTTTCTATCAATCACGTCATTGCACATTAAAATGCACCGACAAAATAAGAGATCTGTCATTCCTTCATTAAGAAACAGTAATCCAGTCCAAGATTTATAGGCTTAAGTCTCAACCATGTGTTCACAATAATTCCCCATTCAGCGCTCAACCAGAGCAAGACTCCCTGTTGTTCAGTGTTTTCTAGTCAAATGTCCCTGATATTAAGATTATCAAAGGTTTTCTTACAGAACTACATATAAAAATCCTTTTGCCAGCAAAAAGCTTAATTTAAGGTGGTGGTTTTCCTTTTTGAGCACTCTCAGACAAGATCTTGGTTATATCAGAAACACATAAGGACTGATGTATTATTAGCAGGCCTGGTGTTAATTAGGGAGAATTACCAGAAATAGTTCGCCTTGTGGAAATTTATTACAGAATCACACTTGACTGATGGCAGAATAGGAGTTGCTGAGCGAGAGCAGCTCCCACTCATAACCACTAATTAATAGGGTGCCAAAATTCCGCAGAGGAGGGTTCATCCCTAGTGTGGGAAGCCTCGCGGGGAAAATGGTTCCCGTGCAGTATTTAAAATTTAACAGAGGAAAGGGGCCGGGCTCGGGGCTACCTAACAGGACCCTCAGCCTGCTAGGGTTTTAGGCTGTAGGCAGGATGGTTTAACTCAGTCAGTGCCATGCTGAACTTGAGTGGCCAGGATACCTGGAGTATCAAGGAGATGGTCATGTTAAGGCACAGGTGGTGGGTATGGGATTCCCCTATTTTATTGTGTAAAAGACCATTTTTGTCTGTTGTATGATGTTACTGAAATTTCCTCACAATGCCATAATGTAGAAGCTACCAGGTAGGTGGCAAGATCGCATGGATGGTTAATTTAGGAAGGTGTTGGCCTGTACACCTTGAACTTCAGCACTTGACTGCACTGAAGGCAGAGCACCCGGAGAGGCCTGATCAATGAAAGCTTGCCAAGAAAGCCATTTCTTCCTGTGCGCAGCTCCATATAATCACACACCATCAAACTTGGAGCTGTTGTTGAGGGTAGAAGAATAAAGCATTTCCATGTCAGGAAACCACTGATCGCTGACCTCAGGGACAAAAATAAAACAACTTAGAATTTACAGAGTATAAGTTTCCAATTTCTCAATTATGGCAAATATAATTCCCAGGGAAAACAACTCCTTGAACTGAGTGGCATGGTCTCTTGCTTCCATGTTTCTTTCTGTTCTTGTTTGTTTTTGTTGTTCATTTCCATTCATCTGTCAAAGGACAGAATTTCTATCTTTTCTGCCCAAAATGTCTTAATTGCTCTCCAAAGTAGTTTTCCATCCTTTTATGCTGAACATTTGCTCTCTAAATACTGTGGGTTGGCTTTTCCTTTTATTTCTTTTGCTCCTCAAATACAGGCTGTTGCTATTGTGACTTTTAAAGTCCTATTGTTTCTTTGATGCATTTGGATAAGCTGGACTAACTTCAGGTGTGGTTTCTGGTTGACCCTGTTTTGAAGAAGAAAACAGCTATTTTCTTCCTAAAGGGGAAAGTAATGGAAGTCTGC